CATCTTCTTTCGGCTTTAACCTAGATCAAATGGAATTCTGTTGCTTGCACCAAAAGAGTCATAAGGGAAATTAATCAGTAACTCTCCAACCACATCTCTTGCCATTTTTCTTCTTCAACAGAGTAATGGAAGCAGATATAATTAAATTATTCAAGACATTTCCACCTTTCTCCCCAGTGTGACATTGGCTTTCCACAAGGTAAACTTCAATGAGAAGATAGTTTGGGGACTCCACAAACCATGGATTTAAATAGGTCTGTGTGTTTGAGACTGTAAAGAGTAAGCACAGCCACAGAACCCTGGCCACCTGGAGAGAAGGTAAGGCCTAAAGGAGGAATAAGTTTGCTAGAAAGAATGGAAGAGGTTCTAGACATCCACCTACTTTGCACTGAACCTCATTGCAGCTCCCACCTCCCCCCAGAAATGTAGTCAAATCGATACAAACCAAGGATACTATATTTGAGATATACTCAAGACAAGCAATGAAATACAAAAGGAGGAGAAAGGTCAAGAGACAGATGAGATGAACTCTCAAGTTCTCTTCAAACTTTCAGAGGAAACATGAGCTGTGAATGAAGAGATGCCAATTTTTGAATATTATAGCTCAACTGTAACAATAATGCATTGGAGATTTTTTAAAGCAAGCCAACCACATACCTGTTAAATTACTGGATTTTCAAATTCTACAAATTTATGGGAGAAAGGAAATTTGATATCTCTTGAATTTCTCATATTAGATATTAGATATTTTTCCTTTAATAAAATAAATCAATGATCAACATCAGACATCATCACAGTAGAAAGTTTCTGAGGAATGGACTGATTTCAGGACACTTTGGGTTTGGGGATTGTTTCAAGATATTTTGCAAACATCTGTGGTTTTACCAAACCCAAAACATGTTTTTTTGTTTTACCAAACCCCAAATAAGTTTTCCCAAGTACTTTTTTACATTTAACTTTTTAAAGTCATATTTATTTCACATGCAATTTAATTCATATCTTTACTTATAAATAAGTAATCAAAATTTTGTTTTGTAAGAACTGTTTAATGTCCACAGAGGCATTTTATAAACTGCTAAAGTATTTTAATAATCTTTGAAACCTTTTTCTTCTTGGAGATGGGCAATTTTTTTCCTTGAATTTGCTTAAGGCTTCTCCTTATACCCTATTCTTAGGCCCCAAAAAGTAATTAAAATATAAAAGCTAAATTTTTTTGTTTTTACTTAATTAAGGAAATTCCCCATATTTCCTAGTAACATGAAGATAGAAAATAGGATGTTTTCTTGCTGATGCCTTATTCTTTCTTTTTACCATCCTTTTATTTCTTTTTCTACAGATTATCAGTGAAAAAATATTACATATGTTTAATGGAATGTGCAAATAATTTAAGCTCCTAGAAAAAGTGACAACTTTGGTCAAGGCTATGTAGTGTTAAAAAATAAGTCAACCAGCTAAAATTGAAGATCTAATTGGCTTTATTAAGCAATTCATGAATCCGTAGCATCCCCTCTAGCAAGGAGAAAAATTTTGTACAGCCCAAACACGTTGTACAAAATGGGAGGTGTTTATAGGAAGGAAGGTGGGGTGGGAAGTTATTAGCACAAGGAGAGAAGGGGTTGTGTCAGGCCCGGTCACTATGCAGATTACTTCATCTCTTCCTGGGGGATGGAGAGGGCCCATGTGACAGATTACCTCCCTGGCATGGACCACAAAACTCTCGATTTGACTACATTTCTGAGGGAGGTGGGAGCTGCAATGAGGTTCAGTGTTAAGCCCTGATTTGGTGACTTGGCCTAGCAGAAGTGACTCCCTTTGGGGCCTATGGTTTTCTTTTTAACATTAGCATACACAAAGGTAAACAATAATTAAATAAAGTGACAGTGTAGCAACATATTGTCAGTGATAATATTAAAACCAAAAAGACACCAAGCAAAATTGACAAAAAGCCTTTATTAATGGCTAGTTCTTCAAAATACAGTGTAACCAAAGGAGGTAATTAAAACATTCTTATGTGTCCTTTACTACTCCGTTTTCTCATTTACCTGCCACATCACACACACACACACACACATACACACACACGTATTTTTTAAAGGAGACCATTTAATTTAACATTTGACATTCTAGTATGATCCTTTTCTTTTCATCTTTTCATCTGAATAACCTGGAAGAACTATGCAAACTATCTTTCATCATTTAGGGAGGCTCTTTCCCACTTTGTAATATAAGTATCAACAAAATAAAAATTTTTATATTTCATTTGAAGACTTAATTCTATGTAATTATTTCTATTCCTACATTTATACTTTATACACTTTAATATTCTGTTCTTCCTATGAGAATTCTTTCTATTCTCAACATTACTAGAGCTCAACTCCTTAACCTTCTATTTCTTTGCCTACGTATTTCATTCTTTATTTTACAATGTGCTTTAGACACTTACTATATGCCAGGCATTCTTCTAGGTTCTAGGAACACAGATGAACCAAAATTGACAAAAAATTTTGTCCTTATGGAGCTTGTGTTTCAGAATTCATGTTATTATCATAAAATGAACTGGACAGAAAGTACAGGTAGTAGTTAGATTACTTAAAATTGTATTGTATTTAAGAATATACTTAAGTGGACTAACTTTTACCAAACCATCATTTTGTTATCATACATATTTCATTTTTCAGCTCTTTACACTTTCACCTGACATTTGTGCACCTTCCTAAGGTTTGCATTCAAATATCATGGGTAAATATTAGGACTAAAAACCAAAGTCCTGATCTCCCTGAATATTAAGTTCTACTCCCATTTCTACCTGTGTAACAAACATACTATCTTATGAGATCAACAAATGATTTAAAAAATTCCACGTGTGAAGGCTTAGAGAAATTAAGTTACCATCTCACAGACACTAAATTCCCAAATCAGTGTCCCATTCATCTCATTACACAAAGGTTGGGGTATCAAATTTCCTCAAACTTAATCTTCACATATGGATTTAGAAATACCTTGCTATTGGGAAAACACAGCTTGCCTGCAGCAGTCAGATTACAAAAAGGAAATTTGCAAAACATTGCACTTCAAGAGTAGAAGAGGCATAAAAATGCACTTCTCACAGTAACTACAAGTCATCACTCAGAATATTTTAACAATAGTACACTTTTGCTTGGAATTTCAGGCCCCAGATCCCTCATATCCCATGCACTGTGACAATTAGCCAGCAAACCATTTGTAGTCATACACTGTAGGGGCAGAAATGAGGATTAGACACCATCTCAGCCACTTTCTGGCTGTGTGACCTTGGCTGGGTTACTCTAACCTTGTTGAGATTTAGAGAATTGTTGTGAGAATTTAATGTGCCAGATACTGCCTACTTTATCTCATTTAACCCTCACAACAATCTGGTAACAATTCAGTAAGTAACATGCAGTTATAATTTAATGGGCATTTCAGAATTGAAGCAATAATTTCAATAAAATGTTTATCATAGTACTTGGCCCGTAAGAAATACTCATAAGTTAATTTTCTTCCCTTCCTGTGTGTTGAGTACAGCGCAAGGTCCCTTGTATGCGTAAGGAGGAGAAAATATGTATACAGCTGTTTAGCTACTTAATACTTGTCTTGGTCTTAATAAACTATGTTCATCCTGTTTACAGTCAGTTCTTGCATCACTTAGAAATGGTTGTGAAATGTAGGTCCCCAATCTTGTGCTTCAAATTAGCCTGTTCTATCTTTTTACAAGTCAAAACCAGCAAGGCTTACTGTAAAGACTGAAGATGAATGACTCCTGTCACCTCCCATTCCCACAGACTCCTTTCTTTTTTTGGTGTCTCTTCAAAGAAAAAGAATAGCTAGTTATAAAAAGTGCCATCTCTCATAAAGAAAGGTAGGTAGGCTTGTCTGCCCCTAAATTCCCCTTGTCTTCTCCCCTTTCAAGAATCCTTTGATTGTTGATTTTGTTTAAAAGATTAAGAAGGATGGGTGGGTGTCTACATTCTTTTCCTTTTTGCAAAAGGGAAATGCACACAATAGTTTGGTTGGTTAAAAAAATGAAGAAAAATTTCTGAAGAGGAGACAAAAGAATCATCCCCTGGACAACAAACTGGAGCTTTCCTCAAAGGAGCTGAGAGAATGGTAATGAAAATGCCTTGTTTACTTAATTATTGCTGTTCTTTTTGCTGCTGTTCTCTTTTCTGCACAACACTGAGTTCTTAGTCACTGACCCACAGCATGAACAAAGGTGCCCATGAAGAAGGCGGAAGAATCAGGAAGTCAGGATGGACAGCCGGGCAACAGCTCTCCTGCCCTGGCCTGATGGTCACCCTGAAGATCAGGTCCTGGGAACTTTCTTTCTGAGCTCTGTGACCAATAAAACCACCTAGTGGTTTTTCTTTGTCTTCAGTGCTTTTCTTTCTATACTTACAACACTCATACATTAGGTAAGATGATTTCTTTGGTCATATTAACTTCTAATTCATTAATATAATGTGGTTCTTCCATCTTAATACTTAAAAATGCTTTGAGATTTTAGACTTGTTCATAATATTTTTAAAGTGAATTCTCATTGACAGTGAGTTTCTAGAATATAGTTTTCAAGTTTCCACCTTCGTTGAGTTGTCTAAATGGTTGCTGAATTGCTAATCTCTATTTATTGAAATGCAAGAAACATTAAACTTCTATATGTGCACAGCACTGTGCTATGTACTATAATATGACAATAATTTTAAGATTTAAACCAAAGTAGCTACACTGATGTCCATGTATTTTTAATACCAACAATAACAGAATCTCATAATTCACCTAAGGATGTAATTGCATGTAATGTAATAATTATTTCTTCCTGGTGATAATAGTTTTTAAACCCTCTAACATTCTAAAATCCTTTCTATTCTGTAATATTTTAGTTTCACTCTTTAATATTCTATCCCTGTGACTAGGATACAAATTAATTTGCTAAACTAAACAGCAAAATGTGAATGCAATCTTTTTTTTTAATTGGTGGCCTCATCTTCCACTTCTATAGAATATAATTATTAATAAGTACCTGTTTTCAACATGCAGTCATACCATTTTCTTCAAGCAGCTGAGTAACTTTTATGTTTAACACTAAGTGGTCCAACAGTTTGTTACCAGATGAAGCCTAGCCATGAAATTTACAGCATCTTCACAGCAGGGTCCAGCTCTCTGGCAAAAGCAATAGCCATATTAGAACTTCACAGTTCAGAGAAAATTTAAAACAATTCTCCACATAAATAGTACTGGCCTGTTTTACTAGCTGAGTATTTTAAATTTCCCTCTAACTTGAAAAAAAAAGTTTATTGCTCAATTCTCCACATCACTTCATACAGACAAGACCCAATTCCTTCATCTACACAATATGTGCTGTGCTGTTTATTGCTCACCTTCTGAGGCAGAGTGAAAATTTATGAGTTGATGTTAAAAAGCAATGCAGGCCCCATATAAGAAGAAAATTTAAATATCAAGTGGCATTATGTCATCGGAAATGAAGACTGCTTGAGTGAACACAGTAAATGCAAAGGCACCTTGAGAACCTGCCAACAGATTCTATCGCCTCCCACCATAGTCAAATTCATGCTGACCTTCCTCTCTACACTTCTTGGTTCCAAACATTCTTTAAGACCCTACAAAGTTTCATAAATTTGTGAGCTAGGTTGTCTGGTGGAATTCATTTTATAACTCCAAGTGAGGCACATATTTTGATTTATGAAGTCTTCATTCTTTATGACTGGGGGAAAGAGAGCTATAAATTTCTCTGGATAAATCCTATTTTGCTTGCTGTTGCTTATATAAAGGAAACTATCTTTGACATTGAAACCAAAGCTATATTCTATTTATTACAGAAAGATTAAAGCATATCAACTGAAAGATTACAACAGGTGCCAACACCAGACTGTAGCAAAATCGTGGAAATCAAAGGACGTATCCCCATTGTGATATACTGATGGCCATACAACTGCAACATTATGTGACCTACAGTCACCAGGATACCTTTATTTTCAGCTTCAGTGAAAATGTAGACAGTATGACAAAATGGCCTAGTCTCAATGCCCTGGAGCCATCACCTAACTGCAGACATAAAAACTTGTTGAAATTGCCATGGTCTCACTTGTCTTGTCCAAAAACAGTTAAAAAGGGTGGGAGGGAAGGACTTTAGAATTCACACAAGGCAATGATACAACTATTTATTAGCTCTTCCTTTCTGCAGTTTCCATGTTGGGGATGAATATCTTCCACCCACAGATTGATTGCTCTAAGGGACCAGTCTCAATAAAGCTTCGTTTCCTGCACCCACTCCTGCCTGCTGTCTTTCTGGATCATTCTCTCCTTGGAGTTGTTAACTGACTTTCTCATCGCTCAATAGCAGAGTCTTTATTTCCCTAACAGAAGAATTAAGGTAAGAACTAGGAAGTTTTCTAGCAACTCCTAAATCCACTTCCCCTGGAATGACTTTGTTGAAAGACTTAGGAACCTCAGATAAACTTGTATACAAATCCATGTCAAAATCAAATAGAAATACTTTTAATTATCCTTATCACTTCTTCTAAATTGACAGGCATAATCATGTTCAGTAAAATAATGACTATAGAGGTCATTCAGACTTGGGTTTGAGTTCTGGCTCAGCCCCTGCTGATCATTAAAGCAAGCTGATGAACATCTATAAACCTCAGTTTTCTGATTTGTGAAATGAGTAGAATAATGTCCAGCTATCAAAAAAATTGCTAAGTAATATAACTTAAATGCCTCACACATAACAAGTACACAATAAGTATGAACTACCATTATTCTTAACTTGCTGAGCAACTGTGCACTACACCCTTATTCCTGGGCCATGGTGCTGATCACATGCACAGTCAAGCTACCCACCTTCTATTTTCTCCCGCGTCTAATAAAACCGTCAGAGTGGTACAGAGACAGAATGCCCCTTAGCCACTTTTTAGACATGATGCTCTTTTCAGCAGCCCTTTGCTTTACTGGTGAACCAGTGTTCATCCCACTCCATTGCTAAATTCATTCCTTAAGATCATTTGACAAGTCTTCCTCATTTCACAGCTTCTGCCCCAGTGGTACCACCTGTAAAGCAAATTTCATAAACCAACTTATCTTCTTTTTCTTTTCCTCCTTTCCCACTCCTTCCTGAATAGTTTAATCCAGAAGCTTTTAGGTGTGGCTGAGCAAGGTATCCTTCGCACAGAGGCCGTGGGTGCAAGACCGCTTCCCTGCTGGAAAACTAGAGCCCTTGCAGAATGAGGACATCCACTAGGGAGACAGTAATAGTGGCCCCCCAGTTTGGGGTGAGGGAACCTGGAAATGGGTGAGAATGTCCCTGCCAGGGGAGAGCCCAGAGTGACTTACCAAAGCCTGAGAAGGCTGAAGAAGGCATCCACACAGAGGGGTGCTCAGGTCGGCAGAGGCAAATGGAGGAAGAAGGGTATCCACAGTGAGTACAATGCAGCGCGGGGCAGAAACCCAAGCACGCTGAGGTGTCTCATTTCAAAGCCTAAGCAAGGTTAAGTAGAGCATCAGTGCAAGGGGTGTTGGCAGTGGGAGGCTGGTTATGTACAGGGGAGTTGAGCAGATAAGTCAAGGCACTGAGGATATGAGGAGCTGGACTTCTCACTGATGGTGAAGGGAGTTACAAATATGGAAAGAGAGTAAGAAAGAATGAATCCTGTGGTATTATAGTGAAATTCGAGATATCTCTTGTGAACTCAACTTTCAAAATACATACAAAAAATACAGATGTTCAAAAACAAGCAAACAAGCCAAAATATATATATTGCTATTTCTGGGCACCTTAAATGGACAAAGCTGAGGAATATAGATATATATTATCATATATTATGTAATACTGTATATTACTATGTACTGTATATACAATTATATAACAATATATTTAACATTATATTTATAAATTCCCCAGCTTTGTCCACTCAAGGTGCCTGGGAGCAGCAACACTACAGTAGCAGTAATTAGCTTACCTAGCACCAAGATCTTGGTTTCTAAATACCATTCTCTAATAAAATGAATCAGAAGTCATTGGAAAGATGGATGATTCAAGGAATGAGGCAGGAAAAGATGAGGTGAACCTAGAACCTCTTCCTATGCCAGAGAGTAAAGATTTGTTCAAAGTATGATAGGCTGTGTTAAAAGGACCCAAAAGCCAACTTGAAGGAGTTCCCTCAGTAAAATGAGGGGGAAATTTAAGCTTCAAAATAAACAATGAGGACATCCACCAGGGAGACAGTAATAGTGGCCCCCCAGTTTGGGGTGAGGGAACCTGGAAATGGGTGAGTTTCAGCCCTTTGAATAAATTCAAGCATCTCTACTAAGGTAGGTAGATAAATAGGTAATAAATAGATAGATGATAATGATAGATAGATAGATAGATAGATAGATAGATAGATAGATAGATAGATAGATAGATATAGATAGATGATAAATGGAAGGACAGAGGAAGTTTGAAAAGGAATGGTATGTCTAGCTATTCTCAAGGTACCTCTTTACAAAACATTCATTATTTAAGAGTAATTATAAAGATAAGCCATCAGACACCACCTTAACTAAATGTTCAAATATCACATCACCAATAAGGGGAAAAACATAAATGATGTACAATGAGAAGAACCCAGTCCACTTCTGTGATATTCCTGCCAAGGACACATAACCTGAATCTAATCAATAGAAAACAGGAGACACATACATTAGGACATTCCACAAAATAACCACTACTATCTTTAAGGTCATGAAAGTCAAGGAAAAAGTGAAGAAATGTTGAAGGAGACTAAAGAGGCACATATGACAACTGAATGTAAGATTTTGACCTGGGTGTTTTTCCTACAAAGGCATTTTCAAGATAATTCATGAAATTTGAATGGACTTTGAGGATTATATGATAGTAATATATTAGTGTTAATTTGCTAATTTTGATTATTTTACTGTGGTCCATTGGGAAAATGTCTAAAGTAGTGGGAAATACACTGAAGTACCCAAGGGTGAGCTTGCTCTCAAATAATTCAGGGGAAAAATTCTTTGTACTATTCTTGCACTTTTTCTGTAAATTAGAGATTGTGTCAAATTAAAATACCTCTTTATAAATAAACACATTGATATAAATGCACTAAAGTAGAAGAACTTTCAATACATGATGAAAAGATAGCAGCAGAGGTCACAGAACAAGTCAATAGTTACTACAAGCTATCTGACAAGTCTCATGTGAAGGTTTGTAAAACAAAATATGCTTTATTGTTCATTGCACAGTCATTTCATTTCTGGCTCTCTGGCTGCCATCAGCAATGCTGATCCTGCCCCTGTTTTTCAAGTACAGCACACAGAGCAGGCCCTGGATCAGAGAAGTGACTCTGTCTCTAGTAAGAACACAGCTCTGAATACTGAATCAACCAGGGCAGCCCACATCCTTGCTCACCTACCGGCATGAAAAGCCCTTCATGCCATTATGATTTCATATCCAAGCGAATTTTTAAAATCCAAAATTGGCACACCATAGGCCCATTTCAGTACCAGACTGACATCTTGTGATATGTATGTGTAAGTTCAGGGAGAGGAAATACCGGGGCAAAATACCTCTAAAAACCGAAATTAGTCAAAGGGAGAAATGAAGTTTAAAACCCGTTTATTGCTTACAAACTGCAGTCCAGCACTCTCTCTCCCCTGCTCCGGAAGAAGCAAGCAAGCAAGCAAACCCCTCCCCTTAACCGCTCAGGTTCAGACACTCCCTCCCCTCGGTTGCCCAGGTAATTACCCATTGACATGAAGATGAACTTCTCTCCACCCCTGAGGATATGTAAATGTACTAAAGCCAGGAGAGATATTCTGGAAATACTACAATTTTACCCACAGTATGGTTTTAAGAATGTGCCATTAAAGAGGTTGCAGGTACCCTAAATCGACGTTGCTGACAAGTTGATGACCAGCAGCAGTAAAATACACAGCCTCAGGAGATACATAAAGGAAAGCACAAGTGACATTAGACAGAGTGCAAAATCCCACAATATTAAAAAAAAATCTTGGGCTTAATATCTCTGGTGATTAATCATATGAGAGTTTTCATATTAATTATGAATTAGTCTAAATTAATCTAACCCATGGTCTGAAGCAAAACATATTTCTCAAATATCACCTCGATTTGGGCCACTCTAAAGATCAACCTCTAGCTAATAACTGCATAGATGTATTCATATCTTAAAGTCAACTCAGAAAGGTTCTGCTGTTCCAGCTCAGGCTCTCAACTCCAGGAGAAAGTTCATAATGCGTCAGGGGTACAGGCAATCTGAGTCATTTTCAAAATTCTTTTTTTTACCTAATGTGTTTTGCATCATATCGAATTCCCTAACCCCAGGAAATACATTCATTTTATTTTTACTTAAATGATATATACTCTATATGCTGATTTTGGTCTGTTTCTTCTTCCTTTAACAATATATTAAAATATTATAATTATTTCTCAGGTCAAGGAACATTTTTCAGAACCTGTCAATATAAAATTCTCCTGATTGCATATACCTATTATTTAAAACTGTTTCCTTGTTAGTTATCATACAGTTGACCCTTTTTTTCTGGATCTCTGATGAGTTTCTTTGGATAATTCCCTAAAAGTGAAATCACTGAGCCAAAATGTGTACACACAGGAAGGTTTTTGCTAGTGTGAACAAATTGCCCTCCAGAAAGGTTTTACCTTTTTCACCCACCAGGAGCCTCTTCCCCTCCCCTGTGCCAGCACTGAGCATTATCGCACTTCAGTAAAATAAGTTGAATTATTAAAAATGTAAATAACTGTACATAATTAGGTCAGGCCACTCCTTGGGAAAAAAACATTGCTTGGGGAATTAACACCTTTTGAGCACCAGGGATTTTTTAATTTGGTTTTGGTTTGTTTGTTTCTTGTTTGTTTTTCAGAGAACACAATGGTCATAACGGCTGTTCATCTGGGTATCTCAGAGAGGATAGCCATCCCGATACTATCATGCTTCACAGAGTTGTCTGGCAAAAGAAAATTGCCCATAAAGCAAAGAAATACTTACTTCTTTGGACTTTTTTCTGAGCTCTACACTACTCACTTCAAGTGCTGCAATTCACTTCCTTTTGCCAAAATCAGCTCATTCACCAACTGTTTTTAATAAGCTATGGTTGAGATGGTGTTTGCAGTTTGCCCCCTCCCATTTTTAGAGACATAAATTTCCAAAACAATTAGGCTGGAAGTCTCATGCTTCTGCTAAGCCTGAGGGTAATTTTTTTTTTGGCTTGTGCTTGTTTTGGAAAGTTTGTAAATCTGTTTAGTTCTTTCTGAGGATCAGGTAGCCAAATAAACATAGGTGCCATTTTTGACAGCAGAGTTATTAAAATACTGTACAGTTTTTGGTTATTCAACTTGACTTTCTTAAGTACTACTAAAAGAAACAGATAAGATTGACTCCACTCATATAATTATAAAAATAAAGGGACAAAGACGCAAGATAAGAAGTGGGTTAAGCTAATTGAATATATTTAGAGAGAAGTGCACTTAAGTGCATATGAGCAAACATCTAACTTTTTACCTCGATTTTTCAAAATTAATCTTTCTCACATTGCCAAGGTGTAGAATTTCCTCTCCTCACTATCCCATTAGTGTTTTTTATTTGAAATATGTTATAATATGGAGAGTAATGTAGTATTAGGAAAGACATTGTAAACGCAGTGAGTGGGGAAAGCCCTATATTGTATAGCCCTTTTAATTTTAATGTTTGCTTTGGTATAATGAAAATCTCAACCTCATGTTGTGTAAAAAAATAATTTTGCAGGTAAAATCCCTTGCTCTTACACAAGATCCATTCAGAGTGAGGCAAATGGAATTGGAATTTTGCATTGATTAACCTAGAAGAATTCATTAACCTCATGAATGGCTTTCAGGTATGATTACATATTCCAAACTATGTCTACATCACAGTTTGGTCTAGTAACACAAGGGGGAAATAACCAAACACTTGTATTTCTTGAGAACTCCTAGACTGAGCAGTGTTTAATCAGTAAACAAACTTCACAGTTGATGTGGCTCCTCAGTATTCAGCTTGCCTCTGTGGTAGCTCAAAAAAAACTATATTTCAGTTTCAAAACTGAGCTTTTGTTTTTTGCACACATCCACTTTTCTTAACCTAGAGTTGCCTCATCTGGTTCTCTTTGGGAGGTATGTGGATATTTCTTTTGCCAAGCAAATAATGTTGCATACTTTAGAGAGAACAAGCTATTTGCTGGTTGGACGTCATCTATTAATTAATGACCCCATTTGTGCACACTGAGAGCACCAGCGTTTGCAGGGACTGTGCCCACCAAGCTCAGGCGGAGCTCTGGCCACAAAAGGCAAGCAGAATCATAGGATGTGGAGTCAAAGAGACCAGCATTCTAAACATGTTTTCTGCTGTTTGCTGGCTGTATAACCTTGAGATTTGTTTGACCTTCATGCCTCAGTTTTCTCATTGGTAAAATGTGAAG